GGCATTACCATCCCTGACTTCAAACTCTACTACAGAGCTACAGTATTGAAAACAGCTTGGTATTGGCATAAAAACAGAGAAGTAGACCAATGGAATCGAATAGAAGACCCTGACATTAACCCACAAACCTATGAACACCTGATTCTCGATAAATGAGCTAAAAGTATACAATGGAAAAAAGAGAACATCTTCATCAAATTGTGCTGACAAAACTGGTTGTCAACCTGTAGAAGAATGAAAATAGATCCATATCTATCACCATGCACAAAACTCAAGTCCAAATGGATTAAAGACCTCAATATCAGTCCGAACACACTGAACCTGATAGAAGAGAAAGTGGGAAGTACTCTACAACACATGGGCACAGGAGACCACCTCTTACGTACAACCCAAGCAGCAAAGACATTAAGGACCTCATTGAATAAATGGGACCTCCTGAGATTGAGAAGCTTCTGTAAAGCAAAGGACACTGTCGCTAAGACACAAAGGCAACCCACTAACTGGGAGAAGATCTTCACCAACCCCGCAACTGACAAAGGTCTGATCTCCAAAATATATAAAGATCTCAAGAAACTAGACCGTAAAAGGCTAACCAACCCAATTATTAAATGGGGCATTGAGCTGAACAGAGAATTCTCAACAGAAGAACTTCAAATGGCCAAAAGACACTTAAGGTCATGCTCAACTTCCTTAGCGATCAGGGAAATGCAAATCAAGACAACTTTAAAATACCATCTTACACCTGTCAGAATGGCTAAAATAAAAAAACACCAATGATAGCCTTTGTTGGAGAGGTTGTGGAGAAAGGGGTACACTCATCCATTGCTGGTGGGAATGCAAACTTGTGCAACCACTTTGGAAAGCAGTATGGCGGTTTCTCAGGAAATTCGGGATCAACTTACCCCTGGACCCAGCAATACCACTCTTGGGAATATACCCAAGAGAGGCCTTATCATACAACAAAAGTATATGCTCTATGATGTTCATAGCAGCATAGTTTGTGGTAGCCACAACATGGAAACAACCTAGATGCCCTTCAATGGAAGAATGGATGAAGAAAGTATGGAATATATACATATTAGAGTACTACTCAGCAGTAAGAAACAAGGACTTATTGAATTTTGCATACAAATGGATAGAAATAGAAAACACTATCCTGAGTGAGGTAAGCCAGACCCAAAAAGAGGAACATAGGATGTACTCACTCATATTTGGTTTCTAGCCATAAACCAAGGACATTGAGCCTATAACTAGTGATCCTAGAGAAACTAAACAAGGAGAACCCAAAGAAAAACATATAGGCATCCTCCTGAATATTAACCTTCAGTAAGCGATGAAAGGAGACAGAGACAGAGACCCACATTGGAGCACAGGACTGAAATCTCAAGGTCCAAATCAGGAGTAGAAGGAGAGAAGGCACAAGCAAGGAACTCAGGACCGCGAGGGGTGCACCCACACACTGAGACAATGGGGATGTTCTACTGGGAACTCACCAAGACCAGCTGGCCTGGGTATGGAAAAGCCTGGGATAAAACCGGACTCTCTGAACGTAGCGGACAATGTGGACTACTGAGAACTCAAGAACAATGGCAATGGGTTTTTGATCCTACTGCACGCACTGGCTTTGTGGGAGCCTAGGCAGTTTGGATGCTCAACTTACTAGACCTGGATGGAGGTGGGGGTTCCTTGGACTTCCCACAGGACAGGGAACCCTGATTGCTTTCTGGGCAGAGTGGGGGGGGACTTAATTGGGGGAGGGGGAGGGAAATGGGAGGCAGTGGTGGGGAAGAGACAGAAATCTTTAATAAATAAATAAATTAATAAAATAACAAAAAAAGAAATTATTTGAAATCATGTTACTAGTTTAAGAAACTATTTTCATGTATTATGGAATGATGGAGGAAGGTCATTGGTTAAATAAAGAAACTGCCTTGGCCCTGAGAGGACAGAAAATTAGGTAGGTGGAGAAAACAGAACAGAATGCTGGGAAAAAGAGGAAGTGAGCTCAGATGCTATAGCTCTCCTCTCTGTGGCAGACGTGATGAAGATCCGACTCAGGATGGACGTAGTGCTATACACATTAATAGAAATGGGCCAGGCAGTGTTTAAATGAATACAGTTTGTGTGTTGTTATTTCAGGGCTTAAGCTAGCTGGTGGCCAGGAGCCCGGTGGTGGAACACAGCCCGTAGCTCCTTCAACAATGGGAACCTAGTTTGAATTGTGATTTGAGTATTATAAAAAAAAGCACTGGCTTTGCAGTAAACTATGCAGGTGTATCTCCTACTCTGCATCCCCTGTGTCCTGATTTCTGCAGCACTAACCAGGGTCATCCATCACCAAGGATGTTGGGGAATGGTCCCCAACAATTGGTGCCTGAACAGGGACCCTGAAAGAAAGTTAGGAGTGCCGGATAATAATGTAAGTAATTACAGGGTAATGGGACAAGCTAACTCTTCTCAGCTTCTGTCTATGCTTAAACATTTGCTGAAAACTCATGACACTAATATATCTACGTCAGACATAGAGATGTGTCTTGAAATTATCAAAGAATAAAATTCTTGGCTTCCCTCAGATGAGAATTTAATGGATATAGGAAATTGGGATGAGGTTCGGATGAATATTGAGAAGGCTGTGAAGTAAGGTGAAAAAATACCAATGCACTTTTGGTATGTATGGTCTCTTGTTTATGTAGTTTTTAAAGCCATGCAGATTGAGAAGCCAGTGAAAGACTTAGCATCAGAGGTTCATGCTCCTGTGAAAAAGTTACAGGTTAGTGAAGAAATGCAAACTGAGATTGAAAAAGATAATTCTTAGTTAGTTGAGCAGCCGGTTAAGGTTACTCAGAAAGATAATGAAGTTACTAAGGAGAGGACAAAAAGTTAGAAAAGCAGCTGGAAGAATTGTTAACCATTGCCAAAGATAAAGTGAAAGTCAAACTGTCAGCTTCTCCCTGGAGAGGTATTCATTTAAGGCAGCTGCAGTCAGGGGATATGCAAAATCTTTGGATTCTTCTGATCTTGACTCTCAAGAAGAGTTTGGCCTTGACCAGGATGAGGATGACCCCCCTGACCATCATGTATTCCCTGTCATGGGACAGCTGCCTATTAGGGGAGTAGCCCCACCACCATTGAAGGTATCAATGTGGATGATATTAGTAGGATTCGGAAAGCAGTTACTTTGTACGATCCACAATCACATTACACTAAAGAAATTTTAATTGGTACTGCCTGTCATTATGGAAACTGGGCTCCTAAGGATTGGAAAATTGTGGCACGTTCGCTACTAAAAGACAGAGAGTATTTGCAGTTTCAAATGTGGTACCAGTATCTGTTTGTCTGTCATTACTGTCCATTTTGTTTATTTATCTTTGTTATCCTGGAAGGGATGAGGCAGGCAGACTCTGCCTCTAGCCTCCTGTATATTTTTATTGGATCAGTTCTAGGACTTTGGGTCCTGAAAGAAAACCTTCTCTAAGGAGAGGCATGAAACTGGCCACCTTCCTTCCTTGTTCTTTCATCCACAGCCTGCCAGCAGCTCCTGCAGAGGGCAGGGGATGCAGGCGCATGCTCAGGTGGGCAGAGATACTACAGGGAGACAAGTGCTTGTGTACCGGGCGGCAGGAAATTAACTGCTTGAAGTTGAAAAACTGCACAGATACATAACAGAGAATCTTTGATGGTGGCTGGAGAAGTTAACTTTTTTTTTTTCCAGAAATGCTGGCAGTCAAGGACACTCTGTGCCCACCAGGGCTGTTCCCCCTCTTTTCTTTCCTAAGTCAAGTTCTTCCTCACTGTGATAACACTCAAGGTCTCTTCTGCTGGCCAGCAATTTCTCATTTTAACCCTTCTCTGTCTTGATACTGCTTTAAAAAAATATTGAGTTATACCAACTTGTGTACTTTGCAAAGTTTTGATTTAAAATAATAGTTAAAGATGCATTATGTTTGGGGAAAATCATGCTTTTGTTTTCACAGAAAAAAAATATGTGTTTTAATCATTTAGATCCAATGGGTTACAAATACTTATCATCTTTAAAGGAAACTGGGTACAAATTATTTTGGTTAAGAAAAAAAAAGCTACTGCTGGTTTTAAAGGTTTCACATTAGTACAGGTCTTTATATGTCACTACAAATTTAAGTCTTTATTGTGATACATACACACATACATACATATATTATATATTTAGGCTTTTGTTTGAAATGTATCTATGCAATGTTCTGGACTGCTGGATAAACTCATGAGAGGAGACATTCATGGAGATTTATATGTTGTCTAAAGGACAAGGAGACAAACGAGATTAAAATGATATAGAAAATCTCATACATGGACAATAATGAGTTTTAAGAAAAACTATAAAAATTCTAAATATTTAATTATGTTGTGCTAATTCTGATTGACTTCAACATTAATAAGGCTAATGATTCTTTGCTGAAGAATAATTATGTTAGTTATACAATCATGTTCTTTAAAGGTAAAAGGAAGACTGAGGTCCTAAATACAAGTTAATAATTGATCATCATAATACAAGCAATTCTCCGAGTTACAAGGTTCTATAGGATTGTCCTCCTATAAAATAACAATGCTAAATGTCTTAGCTTTTCAGACTCCCATAGAGAAGTCCAAACATGTTTCTTAAAAACTTCAACATCACATCTATGGTCAATAAATTAAAACTGCAGTCTGATCCCTCCTGTGATGGTTAGTCGCAGGTCAAAAAGGTTTTATTGTGAGTCTATATTAATTCAAAGGGTTGAAAAAAATAAAAGACTGAGAACATCAATATAGGTTGTAAGGATTTGAAGGCATAAAAGCTTGGAGATTATATGGGTCTTAGAGTATATTCTAAAAATATAAAATTTATAAGAAATAATGGATTTAGATGTATATAAAAATTTAAAAGATTTCTTTCCCCTTCCTTAATTATTAACAATATCAGTAAATAAGCTTCAAATGAGTTCATAAATTTAGCTTTTGTTTCCAATCTGTATCTGTTTCACCAGGTTTCCACTTGGTTGACAAATGCATCCAAGCATCAGTTGCTGATAACAACCTGCTCCAAATGACTACGAGTCCTGACTTTGCTGAAACCTGACATGGACCAATCCAGCCAATGTGACTGCTGTCTTTTCAGCTTGTCAATGAAACAGATTCTTCTAAGTTCCCTCTTTGTTTTTGACTAACATTCTAGTTTTCCAGGGCCCCGAGAAAAACGTCCTAAGGTCAGCAGGAAGTAATTACAGAAATGAATGCATCATCCCTGTTCACACCCGCCCTCCCCCAAATGTTAGATAAAAAGGAAATTTCTCTGTCAGTCATCACAGGGATTTTGGCCATTAATGTCTTCAATAGTTAATAATTTCTATCTGGGTGTCATTAAACTAATGTTACTAAAATCTCAATATCAGCCTCTGGAATAAATTCATCTCAAGGATTTGAGTTGATGTACAAAGCAGGGGCAAGGAATGTTTTAAAGAGCAACATTTTGTCATTAATAACCTTATAGCTGAACAACCCATTTCACAAGCTCGAACTGTTTTTACTGATGGTTCTAGAACTCATGCCGCTTACTGGACTGAATCAGTTTTGGTCTCGATTATCTCCTTATTCCCCAGTGCAACAGAATTGAGTTATGGGCAGTCATTCAGACATTGCAGGATTTTCCTACTGAAACCCTTAATATAGTGGAAGATTCCAAATATGTAGTTGGGTTGTAATGAGCATCTGCACTGCTTCTATTCAAGTTAATAATCCTATACTACAAGGGTTATTTTTAACATTACAAATGTTACAGCAAAAATGAAATCATGTAGTGTTTATTGTGCATATACGATCACATATCAAATTACCTGGATATCTAATAAAGGGGAAATAATGTAGCTGACACTCTTGTAAACTTTGCTTTGGCTGAGGATGAGCACACCAATGCTACTCACTTACAAGTTCAATATAAAATGCCTTACAGACAAGCTAAATGTATTATCCTTAACTGTCCTATATGCCATCCCCTGTATTTAATACAAAATATCCCTGGTACAAATCCTTGGGGTTTGGATTCCAACCATATTTGGCAGATGGATGTAACTCATATACCAGAATCTGGCTGGTTATCTTATGTTCATGTTACCATAGATACTTTCTCCTCAATGATATGGGCTACACTATTATCTGGGGAGACAACTAATCATGTCATTACCCATTTATTTAAAGCTTTTGTGGTATTGGGGGTGCCAACCATAATAAAGAAAGACAGTGGGCCTGCATACTCCTCTAAAAATTTCAGCGATTCTGTGATCAATATGAGATTAAGTTTTAAGATTTTAAATTTTTATGTATGCATTTATTTTTATTTATTTATTGTTAATTTGTTTATTTGGACAACAGGTGTTTTACTCACATACTTGTGTGTGTCCCAAATGTTTCCATATAGAGGTCAGAAGAAAATATTGGATCCCTTCAGACAGGTGTAAGCACAAGTTTCCTGTCTCAGAGCCACTTGGTCCCAAATACCCTGCAGCTGCTTCTTAAATTACCACATAGATGCTTAATATAAATTAGAAATTCTCAACCAATAGCTCATGTTTAGTATTAACTAACTCTTACCTGTTAAATTAACCCTTATTCCTTATTTGCATTCTGCCATATGGCAGTATGGCATATCCATCTTCGATGGCAGCCCATGTTGTACATCGCTGACCTTAGTGAAATGGATCCACTTCTGTGGGTTCCCACATATCTCGCTCTCTCTACATCTGGCCAGTGTCTTCTGACTCCACCCTTCTTCTTCCCATCATCTTTAGTTTAGTTGGCCCAGCTATACAGTTGATTAGTCACTCAAGGTTCCTCTGTAATATTGGGGCACTCGTATTCAGTCTGCATGCCTAAAATATCTTACAGACTTTCCTGTGAAACTGGAATTTTGAAGAAATTTTGTAGTGATATTTCATTTGTATTTTAATAAATAAAGCTAGCTAGAAGTTCAGAGAGTAAAACAGCTGCACTGATCAGCCTTATAGACCAGGCAGTGTTGACACACGCCTTTTACACTGTTTTGCCATATAATCAGGGAGGTAGTGGTGCATGCCTTTAATTCCAGCACTAGAGAGAAATATAAAATGGAATGAGACAGATCTCACATACAGTCTCATTCTGAGATTTCTGGAGGCAAGACCACCATTTTGGACTGAAGTAGTGGTAAGAGTCAGTGGCTGGCTGTTTTGCTTTGCTGACCATCATGTTGAAACCAAATTTCTGTCTCTAGGTTTTTATTAATCATGCTACATATTGTACCTTGTCATATCAGATTTCAGCAATCATGTTTTTGTGTCTCATGCTTGTCCAATTTGGACAGCGCATTTTCAGTCACATGGCAAGGAAAGCTTCTTGCCCAGTGGCTAACTTTTGCCACCAAGAAAGTAAATTCCATAAGGAGTTTCTTCGATATCCATCATCTACTCTGAGGTATATTAGTGCTTCCAGGAAAAGTCATGTCTCATTGTGATTTAAAAAAAAAAAACTTATGTTATTAAAACATCTTAAATCCAATATTTTGTAGAGCTATAAAGTGTTTGAAAACCATCTTTCTATTGAAAATATAGCTCTGTTTGACAATGAAAACCTGCCTAACATGACTACAAGTTTGATTGTAACTGGTAACTATTAACCTGCATATCTATATTATCCTAAATAGTTTGTAATAATAACATTTAAGGACTAGGAATTTACATGTCAGTGTTACTTGAGATGTATAGGTATAATGCCTTGAAAAAGAGTAAAAATATATGTAGGTTGTGCCACCATGCCATTCTGCTCTATTTCTTTTTAAGGACTTCCCTATCTTTTTTCTTTTCTCTCCCAAGGCTTCATTTATTTTTAAACATACTGTAAACCATTTAAAGCCTTTTGCTTTGTTTCCTGTCTCAATATGTTTTTAGTGTATATATCTATCCTTTTCTTTGCACATGAGTATTTCATCTGATGATTGATATAACTAGGATTAAAGCTGTAGTTTGGCAGCTTTCTCTGCCCTATTACTTAGCTTATTGAGAGTCTAGCTTCATGGCAGAGGTACTGGCAGGGGTCGCTTTATTGCCAGAACTCTATGGAGTTTTTAGGTCCATGCCACCACCAAAAAATAAATCTGATGCTAACTTCCTATAAGTACTATTTAAATGTTTGGTGTCAGGACTTTTTAAAAGAGATGTTAGGTTTTTACTGCTAATCCTTAGTCGGGAAGCCTCTCTTAAAAGAGGTTTGCCTCTACTTGCCTCTAGCACACAGAGCCCACCTCAGAAAATTATGCTACCAAGAAGCCATGTTTGAGTCTTTTGTGTCTAGAATCACTTCCCAAGCTCTCTCAAGTTTTATGTGGCCGTAGATTTTAAATGTTGGCATCATTTGTTGTTGGAAGTTTCTGTCCCACCTGGTCCCACAGCCATTCAGTACCAAATAGACATATAGAAGTTTATATTAATTAAAAAATTATTTGACCTATTTGCTCAGACTTATTATTAACTCTTATAAGGAACAGCTTGTTCATCCTGGTTGCCCCAAACCGAAATAACCACACAGAATTTGTATTAATGAAATTACTGGTTGGCCAATTAGCTTCTTATTGGCTAACTTATATATTAATTTAATCCATTTCTAAAAATCTGTATATCGCCATAGGGTCATGGCCTACTTACAAAGTTTCTCCACATCTATCTCTGGTGGTAGATCCATGACATCTCCTGACTCCTTGTTCTTCCTCCCAGCATTCCATTTAGTTTTCCCCACCTATCTTTATTCCTCTATAGCTCCGTTATAGGCCCAAAGCAGTTTCTTTATTCATTAACCAATCAAAGCAACACATAGACAGAAGGACCTCCCACACTAATTAACTATCTATTACAATCTAAATTAACCCATAATTCTTGTCTATGTTTATCCACATGGCTTGGTATCTTTCCCCCATGAGGCATTTTTGTCTTGCATCTTCTGTATCTGGTTAATGAATGGTGCTCTATCTTTCCTCTTCCCAGAATTCTCAATCTGGTTGTCTCCCCCACACTTCCTACCTGGCTACTGGCCAATCAATGTTTTATTAAACCAATATGGGTGACAAATATTTATAGTGTACAATAGTGTTTTCTCAGAGCAATGGAGCAATTTCCATGACAGCCAAATCTACACAGAAGCCATTTCTTGATAAGCCAAATCTATATTTATACTTAAGTCATCCCGTTCTGGGATTGAATATCAGATACTTGCACACTAGGCAGCAGTCCTTCCCTGAGTGTTAGCACAAGGCCAAACATCTCTTTTCTTCCATATGCTGAGGTGCATAAGGGCTGGAGAGATGACTTAGAGGTTAAGTGGTCTAAGTTCCTGCTTGATAGAGCTTCTGGTCCTTTTGGTTTAGAAGCATTTAATAGTAGCAGTTGAAGGAGTGATGATGAAGTACATTCTACAGAATAGGACAGAATGGAGATAAAGGTTGCTGAACTGACCAATCCAACTAAAGTCAGCCAAACAGGGAAGGCAGCACAGGCCAGTAGCACAAAGGAAATCCTCAGGTCATAATTGGCTAGAGCTTGAGGAACTTTGGGGAAAAATTCTTCCCTATTATCTTTCCATGAAGAAACATTGTCTTTATGTTTATAAGAATATTGAGCAGGGAGAATGTGCTATATATAAGAAAGTAAAACAATCAATTGAGTGCATTGCAGAATCTGCCATGGAGTGACTAATGTTCATTGTATTCTTCTGATTCAAATTATTTTCTATAGTATTCATTGATAAAAACCTGTAATATTTTATGAAAGATCTCAAAAGATCATTTAGACTTAACATATTTACCTCTTTGGCTTTGTGTATGTTAAAATTATGAACAGAGGAGAACCAGTCTGTTATTAGATGTCCTTCTGTCTATGTATTGCTTTTATTGGTTAATGAATAAAAAAACTGCCTTGGCCTGTTGATAGGGCAGAACTTAGGTGGGAAAGACTGGACTGAATTCTGGGACAAGGAAGGCAGAGAGAGAAAGAGAGATGACATGGAGACACTGCCAGAGTAGGACATGTCAAAACCTTGCCCATAAATCACTACCATGTGGCAACATACAGATTAATGGAGATGGGTTAAATTGAGATGTAAGAGTTAGTCAATAAGAAGATAGAGCTAATGGGCCATGCAGTGTTTTAATTAATATCGTTTCTGTGTGATTACTTCAGAGCTAAGATAGTAGGGTGGCTGGGAAGAACAAGCAGCTCCACTACAACAATTGGCACACTAACGTGGTTTACTAAATCCACCTAAGCCTAAGAAAGCTTGAGAAGGAATTCTAGACATAAAGAAACAAATTTAGTTGCATTTATTTTTTAGCTGGTGGCTTACTGTAGCTTC